ATTTGACCACGCCCAAGGTCTCATAGAATAATTTACTCTAATCCTGCCTAAAAGAATTTCAATTTGAGGGTAGGCTGGTAGAGATCCTGATGAGGAATAAAATTTAATCGGGTATAAGCGCACCCCACGCTTGGTATTGCTGGCACACAAAAATATAACTAATTATAAGGGAAAAAAGGTCTCATAGATTAATTTACTCTAATTCTGTCTAAAAGAATTTCAAGTGCCGTGGCTATTGATGATTCCCTCTTGTTTTACGTGTAAAGAGTGGTTATCAATATAAGGCAAAGTTACAGATACTGAATATTAAAGGACTTCATAGATTGATGATGTGATTTTATGAATATTTATTTGTTCAAACACTCACTGATTAGTCTGTCTACCAAGAAGATAGAAAAAAAAAATATTGCATAAGAATGTATTAATATTATTAAAATCTTTACGCAGAAATTCATAACTGCTTGAGATTTTTTTTATACCAAATTGTCTTCCTTTCCGATGTTCACAAATACGGATACGGTAACATTATTGTATTTGTTAAAATAAATCTAAGGCTTTGTAATTGTTATAATTTACTGTGTCACAGCTGCAATACTATCCACTTTTTCAAGTTTCTCTTATCTTTCACAGAGAACAATCATCAAACTTTGATCTAATATTTAAGTGGAAATTGTTTATGGTTCGATTTCCTAACATTTTTTTCTGTGGGTCATTTACATAAGTTGCAGATAGAGATACTCATAGATTTCAACTTCAACAGTTTTATTCACCATAGCATCGACCAACAGTTTGCAAAGTGACACCATCATACAAGTACACTAAACTGCACTTCACCAAGTAGCGCATTTGTATTTGACCATTACAAGTCAATATATAGATGAAGCAGTGGCCTTAAAGGTTATCTTGTTCTTAAATATGAAAACATATATAGAAAAGTCATACAAACAGTTATTTCTATATTCAGCAAAAGCAGAAGTCTTCTGAATTCATACCACAACACGAGTTTTTATTCTTTTCAAGTCAAAAGCAAATACTTCTCTGAATTTGAGAATAATTCTCTTTTAGTATAATATTAAATAAATAACTGAGTTCTGAGAAAATTTAGGAGAGATAGCATTGAATTAAGTGTTAAATATGGAATTGTGAGTTTACTATTAGTTGTAACAACAAATATCAAACCATTATTTTAATGCCGCACCTAATTTTTCAGATACCTACAAATGTGAGGAAACACGATATAAAATAGCTTTACGCTAAATTAATCTACATTATAAGAAATATAATTAAATTTTAGCGAACAGACATACATTTAGGATCACTTAACCTTTTCTAAGTATTTGAATGGTTAAAAGATAATGCAGGATAAAAAGATTGTAATGAATATATTAGCCAATAAACATCAAGATATATTTAAATTCAACAATCCAGCCATACATGAAGCATCAAGACTGCCAATTACTGTAGTTGAAACTCTTTTCAACGACAATACAATTGGAGGGAGATCAAGCATACAATATGTATCTCTTCCTGTGGGGGAAAATTGGCTTCGTCGATGCACTCTCTAATTGGATCCCGTCATTCAGCCAATCACAGGCAAGGGACCAAACAGATATACTCCCGGCACTTTAGATTCTGGACTTCCAATGAACTGAGCAAAAAGCTCTTGGTAACGGCTTAAATTGATGCCTCCTAAACGTTGGTCATCTTCCTGAAGTGAAAATAAAAATAAAACAACTAAAATTAATAACAATTTGTTCATAAGATCTGTAAAAAATTTATAAACAAAGAAAAACTAGCTTCATAAAAAATTAAATAGCTTACTTTATACAGAAAATTTATAATTAAATAATTGATATATATATATATATATATATATACACATTTTTATTTGAGACACATATTTAGCATATAAAGCCTAACTAATCAAAAATTGAATGAACTTTAACAAAATTTGAATCACCTACTGTATGTATATATATTATCTCCTGTTGTTTCTATTTAACTATCATTACGTCATAAGTACGAATTTTCGAAAACTAATTCCCACTTTTAGTTTAGAGTAGAAATATTTATATTTAAATTTCTTTTTAACTTTCACTAACTTTTAAGTTATTTTCCGACCTGTGTTTATTGTTGTGTACATGATTAATTTACCTTTTTTTAATTAATACATTGTGAGATAATTTTAGATGCAAAGTTAACAATATATTTGCACACTCACACCAAATTAATACCTTTCACGATATCGTAAACATGTCTGAATGTATTATTATATTCTGAAATAATGTATGTCTATACACTACTGAAAAACCTTCTAAATTACGAGAAACACCGAACGTCAGTATTTCTAAATATCACATTCGATGAAGGCCCAAGTTAATTTCTTAATTTAAAAGTAAATATTTAAACAAGATCCTAAATGTTTGTGTACCACGTGGTATGTTGAATGCAGCATTAGTTCAAATTAGATGATTGTTATGTTCAAATAAAAACTCTATAGTTTCTTATGAATTAGAAACTCAAATTACTGATATTGACAAGCTAGAATATAAGATAAGAACCTCGTATATTTTCTATTTTCTGGGATATTAATTCATTTAGTGAATCAACCAAGGTGCCCCTCCCCCACTTCTTCCATTTTTGAAAATACTTGCTTACGTTCACCTACTTCGCCTAGTGACGTATATATAACCAATCGATAGCTCAGAATATCTCCTAATGGTTTTCTCAACCTGTGCGAAATGTTTCCGCGGGAAACCCGATCTTTCATGATAGAATTCAAGCGGCAAGGTAAGACATTAGTAAGCTCGAAAAATAATATGTTTTAGACCCAAAAACAGGTTAGTTACTAAGCCTGATAAATTAGTGGAATTTTGTGGTACTGATATAGTAATTTATAATTTTTGTTATTTCAAAATGCTTATATAAAATCTAAAAAAAATTCGTTTTACATTCTGCACGTGTGAAATTTGACAAGGCTTAGTAAATTACGACAAGCAGCATACGAGTACAAAGTTCGTAATCAGAAGATATAATTGTTTTTCTATTGTTACGTCTCCGTTTGTTAATAAATTTCCCGTAAATTCGTTCCGACGAAACTTTAGCGACACAAGTCCTTACTTAATAAAACTGGTTTATTCTTTCCGAATATAACTTTACGATACACTTAATTTCAATATTCGCGCTAAAACAAACAATATAACGAACGAACGTTAACTTCAACAATACGTCTCTCTCTGACCGCAGTTCAATTACTCACTATCTACACACACACACACATTACATTATTTCGTCACGTTGTCACCCTCTTTTATATACCAGG